TTTTTTTTTTTTTTTTTTTTTTTTGGTACTGGGGATTGAACTCAGGACCTTGCACTTGCCAGGCAGGTAGCAGAAGCTAAATCCCCAGTCCCCAAAGACATATCTTAGCAAGCATATAAGGTCTCTTTTGATTCTTCTGTCTTTTCTCAAAAGTTCCTTCTTCCTGAATTGCCTTTCCTTCCTCAAATGTCTTATGATATACAGGTATACCTCACAGATGTTCAGCAATAAAAAAAAAATACAAAAAGAAAGGATTTTGAATTTTTTTTTTTTTGTATAGGGATCAAACTCAGGTTCTTGCGCTTGCAAGGCAGGTGGCGGAACCACTTAGCTAAATCCCCGGCCCAGGATTTTGAAATTTTTCTCCATAAAGAAATAATAAATGGTTGAGGAGTAGCTATGTTTACCTTAATTTAAACACTGCATAATGTATCACATATCAAAACATTAGTATGTACAGTTTTTGTGTCAGTTAGAAAATTAATTTTTCAAAAAGGACACCGTAATTCCAAAGACTGGCAATCACTGCCCTACACTGATATTTTTGTTTTTGTCTCTCTCTCTGATGGCCTTGCTATGTAGTTCAGGCTGGTCTTGAGCTCACTCTACAGCCTAGGCTGTAATCCAGCACTCAAGAAGCTGAGGCAGGAGTATGGACGCAAGTTCGAGGCCAGCCTTGGCTACATGATGAATTCAAGAGCAGCCTGAACTGCATAGCAAGACCCTGTCTCAAAAAAAAAAAAGGAAGCCAGGGATTTAGCTCAGGTGGTTCTGCCACCTGCCTGGCAAGTGCAAGGTCCTGAGTTTGATTCCCAGTACCAAAAATAGGAAACACAAGTTTGATGTAACAGAACTTCAACATGCTTCCCTAAAACCACCAACTTCGCGCCAGGAATGGTGGCACAAGCCTTTAATCCCAACACTCAGGAGGAGCAAAAGATCAAATATTTGAACCCTCCCTGGGCAAGTTAGTGGCTTAGCAAGAATCTGTTTCAAAACAAAATAAATACATTTTTTAAAGGACTGGAAGACCCAGGGATGATGGCATACAACTACAGTCCTAGCACTCAAGAGGCTGAGGCAGGAAAATGGCCTTGAGTTTGAGGCCAGTTTGGACTACATAGTGAGTTCAAGGTCAGCCTGAACTGTATAGTGAGTTCCTGTCTCAAAAAAATCAAAATAAAATAAAATGGCTGGGAAGATAGCTTAGTGTGAAGGTCCTAGGTTCAATCTTCAAACTGCCTAAATAAATAAGACCACCAGCTTCTGATTTAAAAATAAGAAAAAGAGCTACCTAACTTACCTAGAGATGCTAAATACATTTCTGAATCCTGCAAGGGAGCCCAGGGCGTTAGAGCTGGCTGGATAGCAAAGTCTGCTGCCTCCCCCTGGTCTTTACCCACAGGGTAAGAATCTACAAAGGAGTCCGAGAACGCATTGCTTGCAACATCTTCTTGGTCAGGCTTTGGTAGACAGGAACAGATTTCAGACCAGAGATCCCTGCCAGAGTTTGTGGCTGTGCAGTCAACACTCTCAAACATTTTCATTTGGAATCTAATCAGGAAAACAGAAGTTCAGACAAGTAAGGACAAGGTTTCAGGATATAGTACAAGTGCATGGTACTCACATATTTCTTTATGCATTTGAAAAAAAATGTAACAAAAATCAAAAATGTCTTCTATCAGACTCATATTACTGATAAACATGACAAAAGAACAACCGAATTATCTTTCTGGCTTTGCACTCATCATAAGGTTTGTCTCTAAAAATGGAATATCTACAAGGCCCACACACAAAAGGACAAACATTGCATGATTCCACTCCTATGAATTACCTAGAGTCAAACTGACAGAAAATAAATGGTGGTCACCAGGGGTTGGAGGGAGGGAAAATAAGGAGTTACTGTTCAATAGGTACAAGGTTTCTGTTTGAGAGGATGATAAAGTTCTGAGGATGGATGGTAGTTATGGTTGTACAATAATGTAAATGTTACTGAACAGTACATATAAAAATGGTTAAAACACGGTGGTTTGGTGGTATTACGGCATGGTGGTACTTGTCTCTGTAATCCTAGCATGCTGGGCGGCTGAGGCAGGAGGATTACATGGGTAAGCCCAGCCTGGGCAATTTAGTGACTTAAGCAAGACCTGTCTCAAAATTTAAAAAACAAGTAAATAAATACGGGCTGAGGACATAGCTCAATGTGAAAGTCTTAGGTTTAATCCGGACTCCTAGGGGAAAAATGTTAAAATGATAAACCTTATATTATGTATGTTTTAACATACTAACACATATACACACAGAGGAATTTCTAGAATTCTTCCAATGTGAACAACCAGGACACTTTTCTCCAAAGATCTCCAAAATGCGATTACTCTAGTCAGCCAATTACATTTTGTCTTTGATAGGACAGACTAAAGGTCTTCCAGTTTCATATACCTGAAGATAAGAAAAATGTTGCTTGGTGCTTGGTGAAAAGGGTCTGTTAAATGTTCTCATAATGGAAGGTCATGTGCTCATTACATGTGGTAGTTGGACTACATTAACTCATATTTTTTTAAAAAAATCATTTTTTTACACCCATAACCCCAGCACTTGGGAGGCTGAAGTAGGATTGCCAAGAATTAAAAAAAAACAAAAAAAAACCACGCACATTAAAACCATTTAAAATGTTTGTTATTATTTTAATTGTACATTATATAGGGTACTATGTGGTAATTCATGCATATAATGTGTAATCATCAAGTCAGTATAGTTAACATGGATAGTTCCAAAAGGAACACTGAAATAGAAAAAAATTCATTATTTTACAGATGAAGAAACTGAGTCTCGGAAGGGCATACTAAAATCCAGACTTGAACTGCTCCAAATTTTCTTTCTTTTTGGGGGGGCAGTAATGGAGATTGAACCCAGGTAATGGAGATTTGCACCGAGCTATATCACCCCCACCCCGGTGTTTCCAACCCACGCTCTTGAGCAACAAGATCTCACTGAGTTGTCAGGAAGGACTCAAACTCAGCCTCCCAGAGTGCTAGAATTACAGTATGAGCCATCATGCTCCGCTTCAAAATACATATTTTTACTCGTTATCCAATACTCTGCCTGTTTGGGAGATAAACTGAAAGCAGCCCAAGGAGAGTCAGGTGGGGAGAGCTACGCACAGAGACCGCGCTCAGGGGACGCGGGATATTCCAGAACCACCTAGTTTTACAGGATGACACCTTTCACCGGAGTCTCAGGGATCAGGGAGGCTGCCCAGTGACAGGCCGGAAAAAATTTCAGGAGAGCCCAGCTAGGACAAAAGCCCAAAGTAAAAGGGACACAAGTCACTAGGGCCCTGGGTGAACTGATGAAGCCTAAATGTAAACCCTCTGAAAACACCTAAACCAAAGCTCTACAGCCGCCGAGCCCCGCGTGCCCCCGCCCTTACGGCGCCCCTAACCGCGCAGAAAACCCGGTGTCCTCCAGACTTCAGGCCTCAGTCGCTCCGCCTCAAGGCCTGGCGAAGGCGTTAAGAACCGTGTTCCTGATAGCCTCTGAAGCATTCGGGGTCAGGCCGGTGTAGGGATACAAAACGCTGGGCGCCTCGGCCCCTCCTTACCTAACGTAAGCGCCTGCACACCACCCAGCAAACGTCCTGCTCTGGACAGCAGCGTTCCAGCCCGGAAGCAGCGAAGGGAGGAGTCTCCAAGTGACGGGGCCCAAGAGCCCTCCAATAATCATCTGGCTCAGAGACGTAGTGCGAACGCATTGGTTCTTGGGAGGAAACTAGGGCCAGAGGACGGTGGACAGGGCCATGATTGCTCGGAAATGGTGGAGTCCGGGACCAGATCCCTGTTCCCTCTGCCCCAAGGAGTTTGATTTCTCTTGGACAGTGTGGTTCCAGCTATCTGCCCATCTTCTCCCTGCTCTAATGGGAAAGCCCAGTTTTCCAGACTTCTGACTTCTCTTGAACCCTTGAGTACGTTCGCCTCCCGGGCAATTCTTTGGGTGGGTGTTTGTTTCACACCCTTGCTGCTCAAATTAGAGCACTTCAGTGGCTTCTTTTCTTAATGTCACAGGAGACCATGACTCATTCACTGAATTATGAAGCTTTCGCTTATCCAGTCAGCAGATAACCAAGCTCCTGCTGTGTTGTGGGCATTGTGTTAGAGTTGGAATGTGTCCCAGAGTTTCTTGGACGGTGGCGCTGCGACCCCTGGCCGATTAGGTCAGGCTTTGGGGTTGCTGTAGGGACCCGGTGGCAGCAACACTGTCGACAAGAGTCAAGCTTGTCTGCCAAGGAGCGAGGTCTGCAGTGTTGCCAGAGTAAATAGAAAAAAAGAGTGTGAGTTGGGGTGCCTTTTAAAGATGACCTTTGATATCCCTCAGGTTCACTTAGTTACAAGCTTCCTAATCCTCAGTTTCCAGGACTACAACTGTCGCCCAAAGAAACATGATAAAAGATTATCAGCCAGCCAGCCGCAGGAGAAACTTGGCTGAGGGTATCGCCTTTAGATGTGTCCAGCAATCGATGGAGGTATGGTAGTGACAACTATGACCATGTGAAAGTACTACCACAAGGTGCTCTGTGCTCAAACTTACAACTATTCTTAAAGAGTATGCAAGCAAAGAAAGTGAAAGGCAAGGAGGTTAGAAAACAAAGAAGTCAGGAGTAGTGGCACAAACCTGTAATCCCAGCACTCATGAGGCTGAGGCAGGAGGATTGCCATACGTTTGATGCTGGTCTGGGTAATATAGTGAGTTCAAAGCCATCATAAACTACATAGTGAGACTAACAATCAACAGAAAATTTGACCCGTTATTCTGAGGAAGGAATCAGGAATCAGGCTTTTTTAGCATATGGAATTCTATAGCTGTGTTATCTCAAACTGCTCTGAAATAATAGTGTCAGCTGTAGTATCTCTGTTAGTTTGGTGAGACTGACGGGTTACAAAACAAACATAGCAAACATGAAGAAAAAGAAAGAAAGAAAAGAAAAAGACTTCTCTTTTCCTCCACAAAGTGCTAATGCATATGATAAGAATGCCCTGAATCAACACTAGCATTTTATATTACAAAGGCTAGGTCTCCTAAATTGTACTAGACGTTTGTCCCTTTTGTGGGGAGGTACCTAGCATTGGAATATCTACCTGCTTGGAAAAATTTCACTCTAAAACCTTTTAAAAATTTATAAGTTTTATTGAAGTATGTCAATACTATAATACTATATGTCACATACTATTATACACACCACGTATACAATAGATGGTTTTTAGTATACTCACACAATCTAGCAACTTCCATTCTACTTTTTTGGTTTTGGCCAAGCTTGGTGGTGCACGCTGAAGCAGGAGGATCGCTGCCAAGTTTGAGGCCAGCCCTGGCCAGTCTCAACTACATAAGGATACCCTTTCTCACAAACACACACACACACACACACACACACACACACACACACACACACACACACACACACACACACACACACACACACACACTCAATGGTTTTGGTTTGTTTTAAATAAAGCTTCTTTCTAGCGTTTCTGTAGATCCAAGGAACTTTTGAGTGCTGTACATTCCATCACATCTAAGAGAGATGCCATGGAATGTACCCGATCCACTCCTGTCAGGACTTCCATGCAGTGAAACCCAAAGATTTCCTTTGTGAAATAACGTCAGGTCTCCAGGGTAGGAGGTCTCACTTTTGATATCTCCACTAGCCACTCACTCCTCAGCACTTCTTTTTCCTCACCTTATCGAGCGGGCCTAGGTACTTTCCCTCATTGATTGGCTGGTGCTGCGTGACGCCATCAAAGCGCGACGCGGGCGCGGTGGCTGCGCTGTCATGCGCCTGGGTGGCCGCAGGTGGCCGGATCTTCTAGTACAGTGGTGGTTCCACCCCCGACCCCTCTGGTTTATCAGGACTTGGGGGAGCTGTAGGGGCCCGATGGCAGAAACATTGTCGACAGGAGTCGAGACAGCAGGCGGCTTGAGGGCTCCGACTCAGCAAAACGGAGACGCTGGTAGCGATGCGAAGGGCGAGCCGCTCCTGGGGCCACCGGAGCCAGCAGGCCCTGTAACCGAACCGACGCCCAGGAGCGGGGAGCAGGCCTCGGCTCCATCCACCGACCCAGGCAAGCGGAAGAAGCGGCTAGGCGCAACTGGGGAGCGCGTCGTGCCACCCCCGAAGAAGCGGCGCACTGGGGTCAGCTTTGGTGATGAGCACTTCGCCGAGACCAGTTACTACTTCGAGGGCGGCTTGCGGAAGGTGCGACCCTATTACTTTGACTTTCGGACCTACTGCAAAGGCCGCTGGGTGGGTCGCAGTTTAATGCACGTCTTCAGCACTGAGTTCCGAGCCCAGCCGCTGGTCTACTACGAGGCGGCGGTCCAGGCAGGCCGCCTGCACCTCAACGAGAAGCCAGTGCACGACCTCCGCGTAGTGCTCAAGGTGAAGTTCTGGGGACACACCCTTCTGTAACGCTGGCTTACCATGGTTGTGAAGAAAGGCGAGGCAATTCAGCTTTTAGAAATTACCCTCTTCCACCCCAATTTTGCAAACCACAGGTCTGGCCTAATTGTTCCATTTTACAGATAAGGAAACTGAGGCTCCGAGTAGTTCAGAAACTTACCCAAGAGCATGTCATGAACTGTGGCAAATCTAGGTGTAGACTCCAGATCTCTGCATTTAACAGGTTGGTGTTTTTTTAAGGTCACAAGTGATGACTTATGGAGCTTTTTCCTCTGTTTAAAAGAAATTTACTGCCGAGTATGATATCCTGCAATCCCCGTTTTCGGGAGGCTGAAGCAGGAGGTTCACTGTTGAGTTCGAGGCCAACCTGAACTACTTAGGAAGACTTGTCTCAAAAAAAAGCCCAAAAGCCAGGCATGATGTCGCACACCTGTAATCCCAGTACTTGAGCAGCTGAGACAGGAGGATCGCTGTGGGTTCAAAGCCAGCCTGGGCTACATAGTGAGTTCAGGGCCAGTGTGAGCTACACAGTGGGACCCTGTCTCCCTCCAAAAAAGAAAGGAAATTTACTTTTAAAGTGCAACTTTTTTTTATAGAATATATACCAGTAGGCAAAACAAAAGCATCCATAATCTCATCTCCTAGAGATATAATCATTAACCTTTATTTGTCTGTATTTTTACACAATGAGGTCATATGATGCAATACTACTTTCCTTTTTTTTGGTACTGGGAATCAAACTCAGGACCTTGTGCTCTCGAGACAGGCAGTGAAACCACTGAACTAAATCCCTGGCCCTCCTTTTTTTATCTGCTTAAGCATGTACTGTACCTATTCTTCCATGTCAGTAAAGAACAGGAGGAGGCTGGGTGTGAAATTGACTGATTACGGACTGCTGGCTTCCAGGCTGACTAGTTACCTATGTTTTTGGCAGGACAATGACTTCTTGAGGAACACAGTGCACAGACATGAGCCACCAGTCACAGCAGAGCCTATTCACGTGCTAGCTGAGAATGAAGATGTGGTAGTTGTAGATAAGCCTTCCTCTATTCCTGTCCACCCCTGTGGTCGCTTCCGACACAACACAGTCATCTTCATCCTGGGAAAGGAACACCAACTGAAGGAGCTACACCCATTGCATCGGCTTGACCGCCTAACCTCAGGGGTGCTCATGTTTGCCAAGACAGCTGCTGTCTCTGAGAGAATTCATGAGCAAGTTCGAGACCGGCAGGTGAGCCAGGCTCCCTCCTGCAGGCTACTTCCGGGACACAGGAGCACTCTGTATCCAAAGGGTGTGATGGAGTTCTAGATCTGAAGTGGGCCTTCATATATATCTGGCCAACTGTCCTACTTTCAGGAAGGCTGGCACTTCAAGCACCAAAGATGGGTTACCCTGCATGTTTTTTAAGATCTTTAGAGATGCCATACACTGCCACTTTTGGTAGTTTGCTGTTTTAGAGTTCCAATGAGCTGGTGAAGGTTTTTATAAAGATTTTGGAAAGAGCTTGGTTGGTGGGAAAATTATGGATAAAGTTGGAGAAGCTTGGGTAGAAGAGTTTAATGGTAGTAATCATGGGCTTGAGAGTTGGAATTCTGGATAGGGATCATAATACATTTATGAGGGCATACTATGTATTCATTTATTGAGTACATGACAGGCTTAGGACCAAACACATCAACAGCCTAATTTACTGAAGACTTATACCAGCCCTGCAAGGTCAGTGTTTTTCTGAACTCACATTTTTTAAATGAGTTAATGGGATTTTAAAGAGGTTTTAAATAATATACCCAAGATTAAAAAACTGACAAATGGTGGAGCTGGGCTTTGAATTGTTTAATCTAACAGTGGGACATTCCTTACTACTCTGCAGAGAGTTTCAACTCCTTAAATTTAGGCTTTTTGCTGACTTTCTCCTTCTTCCTCCTGTGTAGCTAGAGAAAGAGTACGTGTGCCGAGTAGAAGGGGAGTTCCCTGCCAATGAGGTGACCTGCAAGGAACCCATCCTAGTGGTGTCTTACAAGGTAGGAGTGTGCCGTGTGGATCCTCAGGGAAAGCCCTGTGAGACCCTGTTCCAGAGATTGAGCTACAATGGCCACTCCAGCGTGGTACGGTGCTGGCCGCTCACAGGCCGGACCCATCAGATTCGAGTTCACCTCCAGTTCCTGGGCCACCCCATTCTCAATGACCCCATCTACAATTCAATTGCCTGGGGTCCTTCCCGAGGCCAAGGTGGCCACATTCCCAAGACAGATGAGGAGTTGCTCCGGGACCTGGTGGCAGAGCACCAGTCCAAACAGAGCCTGGATGTGCTGGATCTCTGCGAGAGTGACCTGTCCCCAAGACTCCCAGTCCCAACTACTGCCCCCTCAGAGTTGGCCAAGGCCAACCTGGAAGATTTTACAGCTGCTCAGAAAATGGATGGAGTAGTTGAGGCAGCCCCTCAGGATCTGGACACAATGGCCTTGGTATCAGAGGAGGCAACTGAAACAGATACTACGAATCAAGAGACAGACCCACTCTGTACAGAGTGCCGGCTGGTGCGACAGGATCCCTTGCCCCAAGACCTTGTGATGTTCCTGCATGCCCTCCGCTACACAGGGCCAGACTTTGAGTATGTTTCACCCATGCCTGCCTGGGCACAGGATGATTGGCAAGGGGACTGAGAGCTGTGGCTGATGGGATTGCTTCTTGGATTGGGACATGGATGGGGCAGGGGCTTAGCCCATGGCCTGAAACACTTTCTTCAGAAATGAGGGTGGGCTCTAAAGGGATCTGCTGCTACCCTCCAGCTCCCTCCTTCCCTCTCCCTCTAGCTAGAATCTGGGTACTTTTTGCTTTGTAAATATACCCCTTTTTCTAACACCTTGTGTGTCTGATTTTTTTTTTACTGTTTGTTTCTTTTTTAAATCGAGGTAAGGGCCAGGGATTTGACTCAGTGGTTCCGCTGCCTGCCTCACAAGCACCAGGGACTGAGTTTGATCCCCAGTACCAAAAATAAAAATAAATAAATATATTGAGGTAAAATTTGCATAATGAACCACCTAAAAGTTACAGTTTAGTGACATGTAGTATATTCACAGTGTTGTGCAACTATTACCTCATATAATTTCAAAACATTTTGCTCACCCTAAAAGGAAACCTGCATCTATTAATCAGTCTTTCCCTATCCCCCACCCCTACCCCTTTATGGATTTGTCTGTTCTTGACATTTATATAGGTGGAATCATATACTATGTGAGTTTTTGTGTCTTTCATTTAGCATAATGTTTTCAAGAGTCCTCTAATTTGTGGCATATGTCAGTAGGTCTTCATTTTTTATGATAATATTCCATTGCATGGCTATACCATTTTTTGTATTCATTCATCAGCTGATGAATAATTAGATTATTTCCACCTTTTAGCTATTGCAAATAGTGCTGTTGTGAATATTTGTGCTTTACAAGTTTTTTGTTTGAATACGTTTGCAGTTCTTTTTGAAATTCCAAAAGTGGAATTGGTTGGTCAGATGGTAAATCCGTGATTAACGTTTGAGCAACCACCAAACTTTTCCACAGTAACTGAATAACTGAACATTCCTACCAGCAGTGCACATGGGATTGCAGCTTTTCCACATCCTCATCAATGCTTATTATTTTCTGTTTTGAGTATAGATATCCTAGTGTGAGTGAAGTGGTATATAATTGTAGTTGTGTAGTCTATGTTGTTTAGTTGTGCTCTTTATGTATTCTGGATATGAGATCCTTCTCAATGACAAAATGACCAAAAACTCAGTTTAAAACTGGTCAGAGAACTGGCTGGGCAGTTGGTGCACACCTGTAATCCCATCTACTTGGGAGGCAGGAGAGTCACCAGGTTTGAGGCCAGCCTAGGCAACTTAGACTCTGCCTCAAAGTGAAAAATAAAATGGACTGAGGCAGGAGGATTGACATGAGTTCAAGGTCAGCCAGAAGCACCTAGCCTGAACTACAAAAGAGGACTGCCTCAAAACAAAAAGCATAAACAAAAAGCTTGAGGATATAGCTCAGTGGTAGAACATCCCTGAGTTCAAGCCCTAGCACTCTATAAATAAGTAAATAAATATAAAGGACTTTAACAGATAATTACCAAGCAGAAATGTCTGGAAAAATGATTATTTATCTATAGAGAAATGCAAATCAAAACAGTGTGGTGCCAGTTATAAGGACAGACAAACTAATAAAATCAAGAGTCCAGAAAAAAGAGCCTACATACATACTTTTATACCCATTTATTTAGGAAACTGCTTTATGTGTAAACTCCTATCCAGTAAGACACAGTGTTGGAAAATCATACAAGAGGAAGGAGAAAGACAAATAAATCTAAAGATCCTGAAAAAGGCACACATTTGCAACAGTATGGGGAGCTTCCTCCTTTCTTCCCTCCCTCATTCCAGAACACTAATAGCTACCACTATCAAAGTTGCCTCCTCACCTTACTGAAACCTTTTTGTAAAAAGAAATAGTATTTTAATGAAATCCTTATACAAAATGTATACTGTGTCCAAAAAACACTACTTGGGAGTCTACTCTTCCTATGGAACATGGTTATTCCAACAGTTTATGTAGAAGAGGCCTAGATTAGAGCCTTGGCAAGATTCTTGGCCAACCCAAATGAAAAACCCAGAACATGGGGCTTTTTCAGAGGTGGCTGGATCTAGAGTGTGTGATGCTAGGATTAAGAGTGTGTGATTACTAAACCAGAACCCTGATTGGTTTTGCACCACCCTAATCCCCATAGTTTAGATAGAGTATACACGAAGCCGAAAGAAGCTGCTAAAGCCCCTTGCTTGCTTTGTTACCTCCTGCCCACCATAAACTGGTTCCCCTCTTCAGTGCCTGTCTGCCATGCCACCCTGCCTTGGAGCCAGCTGATTATGGATTGAAACTAATACAGACTATGAGCTAAATAAACCTCTTTTCCTTGAACTTTGAGTGTTGGGTATTTTGTCTCCACAATGAGAAAAAAAGGACAAATGGGACTGATCTTTTAAATTTGTATGCAAAACTTTGTTCATGTATAAATTTTTCTAAAGAAAGTCTGTATTTCAGCCTGTCCTTTAGAGCTACATTGTCCAAAGCTAGCCATATATGCCTATTTTGTACTTACTAGAAGTAAATAAAGTTTGGGCTGGGAATTTAGCTCAGGGGCACTGCACCTGCCTTGCAAGTGCAAGGTCCTGAGTTCAATCTCTGGTACCAAAAAAAAAAAAGAAAAGTAAAATTTAAAATATAGTTCGATTGCACTAGCTATATTTCCAGTTTTCAAAGCTGGTTTAGTAGCGTCTATACATTGGTCTTTTTTTTTTTTTTTTTTTTCAGTACTAGGAATCAAACTCAGGACCTTGTACTTGTGAGGCAGGCATTGCACCACTGAGCTAAATCCCCAGCCCAGGTAACTTCTATATATTGGACAACACAAGTAAAGAACATTCCCATTCCTTTGGACAGTTTGGCTTCGTAGTATTTCCATACAGAAAGCTCCATCCACATGGGGCTGCAGCCAACAAGCCTGAAGCTGGGCCTTATGTGAAGGTACCCATCATGAGTACCCATCACGCAGGTGTGGGCTCTGCCAAGCAGGGTCCAGGCTAACACAGGAAGCTACGGCTCCATGATGTGGGCATCCTAGAGGAGAATGTGGCACTATCCTCCTCCTCTGCCTCTTGATGCTGTGGTTGTGTATTTAGTATTTAGAGGACATTATTAGGGATGATGAATTCCAGTTATCACAAAGAAATGTCATGAACAAGTACTACCAGGACTGAAAACACGGAGTAGAAATCACCCACATGTCCATTTTTAATGAATATATTTCTCTAATGGAAAAATACTTTGAGGAACAGCTGCTGAGCAGATCCTGGGATTCAACATGACAGCTTTCAGGACTACGTTCAGCAGCAGAAAGGTGAAGTGGCTGCTGGACTATGGAGCAGAAAAGGAAGCCTGGGGCTGGATTTAAGCAGTGGCTTAGTGGTGACACTGTAGTACAAATTGTCTACTATGCCAGGTTCCCAGAACAATATGCAGCACTAGGTCCCACCATCAGGCAACGAATCCAATCATCCTGATATCATCAGCTCAAGAGGCTCAGAGAAACTTCAGCTGATGACAACAGAAGAGTACGTCTTGGAAAAACTGACTGTGTTGGTTTTTTGTTTTTTTTTTTGGTGGGGGAAATTGAGACAGCTTCCCACTATATAGTTTAGGCTGGCCTTGAACCCACTATGTAGTCCAAGCTGGCCTCAAACTCACAGTGATCCTCTTGCCTCAGCCTCTTGAGTGCTGGAACTACAAGTGTGCACCACCTTGCCCGGCTTTCCTGTTAAGTACTGATGGGTGGAAAACTACTTGACCTTCTGGACCTGTGTCTCCTGAAACATCTTCCTGTATTCAGTAACCTTAATGCTTCTCCTGGGTGGATGCCTCTCTCGGGTGCTCCTGGATCACATGCCTCTGCAGCAAGCCCCTACTAGCCATTCCTATGGGGCCGACTAGCGTGCATGTTGGTGTGTCACCAGCCTTCTGTCCCAGCAGGCTTTGCATGAGCCCTTTTGTGTATTCACAGCTCTTTCCAACATGGGTCAGCATTTCAGTGCTTCAGCCTCAGTGGGGTTTTCTTAGAGAGTGAGTCCAAGGAGTCCCTCTTTTGAGCCAGCCCACAGGCCCGAGATCTCAGAATCTCCAAGAACCCTTGTCCTGGCTGGAGGGAGCAACTGAGAGAGATGCCCTTTACCATTGGAAACTACTACCACTGCACATCTGCAGTCCTGATAACACTATATCTTATCCTGATGTAGTCTCCTTGTTTCTAGAAGTCTCTTTTAAACATTTTCAAGTAAGTATTTTTATAGGTGAATACTGACTACCCTAGTGGATATGGTCTTGGAACTTCCGTGATCACCCATATAAAGATCAAAGTATTTTTATGCTGTGTGCTTCTTAGTTGTCAGGGCTGTGAAGGCAAAAGTGCTTTCTACATTGGTGTACCTGCAGTACTGGCACAGGGAGTGAACGGATGCATGTGCTGAAAATAGACTAATACTGTACTGCTATCATAGTAGACTAAAACTGTCCTGCTAGCATAGCATGTTAGGTGTGTTTCTTCATGTTTGCTCAAAATCCTCTCTGTGTAAGCCCCTTTGTTAGGCTTCTGGTGGGGGAGGTAGACTGCAATTTCTTCTTCCTGTCTAAACCTCTCCTGCCAAGGATGTGTCCCGTCCAGCTCAGCATGAATGGACACAGTGTACACTCTACTGGTCATCTGTCAGCTCTGACTTAGTACAGTATTGGTAGACAATAACTGACCTCCAAATACAAACGTTACATTTGTGGAAAGAAGGAAAAAAAAGTTTAATTCTCAGTGTGTAGTTTCACTTGTATAGTAAAAACAAGAATCTGTACTACTTTTCACTTCACTTGGCTATTGTGGTTTTATTTTTGCTTTTTTGAGACAGGGTCTCACTCTGCAGTTCAGACTGGTCTTGAACTCACTATGTAGCCCAGGTTGGCCTCAAGCTCAATGGCAATCTTCCTGCCTCAGCCTCCTAAGTGCGAGAATTACAAGTGTGTGCCACTATGCCCAGCGTAGCTATTCTGGTTTTAAAGGATAAGCTACAGCTATGTGTTTTTCCATACTAATGTATTGCTCGCTTTTGTACCATGAGTAAAATCTGAGGGTTTTTTTTGTTTTTGTTTTTGTTTTTGTTTTTGTGGGTTTTTTTTTGTACCAGGGTTGAACTCAGGACCTTGTACTTGTGTGAGGCAGGTACAGTGCCACTGAGCTAAATTGCCGGCCCAATCTTAGATGTTTTGCAAGAAAAACAAACAAAACAAAACAACCCCCAAAAGGTCTCTATACAAAATGAGTTAAGCAAGCTGGCATAGTGGTACATACCTGTCATCCCGG